CTTCCATCACCTTGTGCCTTTGATTGGAATGATTGTTTCTTAATTTTAAAACTTTTATTGATGGCCTACTATGAAGGCATGGAGATAGATAGATACAAATAGGTTTCTTTTCTACCAGAGCTCTCAGACTGTGTTAACAAATGCGACATTGTATCATGATTTGTTTTTGTAAGAGCTTACTCGAGTTGCATTATCTATAGAATATACAAGAAAATGCATGCGTAACTCTACACTTTGGGAAGAACAAAGGAGATAATATTTGGGCTGTGTCTTGAAATACGAAAGTTTCTCCAGAAAAAAACAATGACAGGATGAACAAGACCATTGGTTGAGCAAGAAAATCGTGCGTTCATAATGCAATGTCTGAAAGGCAAAGTAACATAGGATAAAATTAAAAGATTTGGGTTTGATTTATCACCAAAAACACTGAAAGCAAAATTATTCCTTATGTACTTTTAATTGACCACTTTTCTATTTACATGACCATTAGTCTTTCAATGAAGATGATGTGCTAGATTCGTACAAACTATATTTTATGTAATCCACACAAGTTGAAAACATTTATCGTACATGTCTATGGTCGCTGTCTGTAAAGAACATCTAGCCATGCTAAGGAGACATCTCAGTTAAAAATACCAGTCAAATAAACTGAAAACTTTGAACTTACCCAAACCAAGTTGTATTTAATAGCTACCAGTAAAATACATATGTACAATTATTTGCTAAGGCATTAGGGAAATAATGTTCACCTTGCCCTAGTTCTTTAAGGTTAAACTGCTTACCCCTGCAAAGATCAAACAACTTGACATTTTATATTCAAGAATTATGCAGAATACCTTTTTAAATCCAGAACCTTTAGGGTTCTTACTCTGTGTTTTTTCTTTATATTTATCCTGTTGTTTGTTACTGTTATTTCCTCAGCAGTCTGGATTTCTTGCCCAGGTTAGGAGTACTGGACTTCTGCACTACATCAGGATTTATTCTGGTATTTCTCTCCGGTTCACTAGGGGCATGACATAGTTTCTGAGGCTTGTTTCAGTCCCTGGACATAATCTAGCTCAGTCTACTCCTCATCCTTCTTCTCTGGAAGTTCCATCACTATCCAGTCAAGGAGCCCTCAAACATGAAAGAAGATGGAATTACTCATTTTGTCACTCAGCTTTTCTCTGGGCTTTATACCTATAAACAGGCTTTATACCTGTTTATAGGTATTACATTTATTGAAATGTAATATTTAGTCATTTTTGAGCGTTTAGATTCTGTGGAATAAGTGGGATCTATACAGAGTGACAAGAGTCTCCAGGATGCTTGGAAATGTTGGTCCAACTCCACTATCAGAAAAAAGCCTCATGACAATGAAACAGAGCCAGAGTCAATGCAGGTGGATTTGGTCACTTGTAAGTTCCCCTAGATCCTAAAACCCCATGGTTTGATGATTCTAAGTAGAGAAGTAAAAAGAGGATGTTTGAAAAATTCTGCTTGAGGAAACTTTGACCTCCTTGTTTCTCAGACTGTAGATGAGAGGATTTAGCATGGGGATGACCACCGTGTAAAACACAGACACTACTTTGTCTTCATCCCTTGAGTAGCTGGAGCTGAGGTGCAGATACATGAACAAGATTGTCCCAAAGAAGATGGCGACTGCCATCAAGTGGGAAGCACAGGTGGAGAAGGCTTTGTACCTCCCTTCTGCAGAATGAATCGTCAAGATGGCAGCAAGGATGTAGAGGTAGGAAACCAGAATCATCAGGAGGCAGCTCAGTTAATTAAAAATGGCAAAAGCAAAGATGACAACCTCATTGATGTGTGTGTCAGAGCAAGAGAGTTTCAGGAAGGATGGAGTGTCACAGAAAAAGTGGTTGATGATATTTGAGCAGCAGAAAGACAGCTGGAAGGTGAAGCCAGTGTGAATGGTAGCATTTATAAAGCCTTCAAGATATGTAGCCAACACTAGGAGGGCACTGAGGTGGGGGGACATCAGGACTGTGTACAGGAGAGGCTTGCAGACGGCCACATAACGGTCATAGGCCATCACGGCCAACAGAAATCCCTCAATGCCAGCAAAGGAGCCAAAGAAGAAGAATTGAGTGGCACATTCATTAAAGGAAATGACTGGGTTCTCCACCCAGAAATTCACCAGCATATTAGGGGCAATGACAAAAAAATAACAGAAGTCAACAAAAGACAAGTTACTGAGGAAAAAGTACATGAGAGTGTGGAGATGTGAGTCGATCTTAATTAATAGGATCATTTCAAGATTTCCTACAACCGTGATCATATAAATAACTAGGAACACCACAAAAAGAAGACACTGTATTTCTGGACGATCCCTGAATCCCAGGAGAATAAGTTCAGACACTGTTGTAAAGTTGGTCACATCTTGTCTCAGAATGGGTGATTCATTTGCTGGAATAAGAAAGAAACCATGAGAGATGCTTCACCATAGTAACCATTGTGTTATCTATATGTATCTACACGTATCCCATAACATCATATCAAAAACCTAAAATATACACTATAAAA